CGTCGGAGAGCGGCGTGGGGCCGGCAGGGCCGATGGGTCTTCGGGTCGTGCGGGTGGGCTCTGAAGCCCTCCTGCGTGGGCTTTTGTAGCCCCAGGCGCTTAGTGGGAAGGGAAGAGCCCTTCCGGGCGCACGAGAATCATCTCACGTTGCAATGGGGTGTTTCTGAATGGCAAAAGTGGAGATTGAAGCCCTCCAGCAAGGGCACGTCGGGTGCGACGTGGTGGCCGGGGTCGGTCTCGGCGTGCGATGATGCTGGTTGAGGCATAACCAGACCGCGCGGGACCCAGTTCTCCATCGCTTTTGGCTGTGGCCCGCTCCTGAGCTGTTGCCTGGGTCTGGGTTAAGTAAATCCTAATGGATCGCTGCCCCCTTTCCTTGGAAGTTGGTTTCACGGAGCCTGTTATCGCACTTTTACCCACGGTAAATCGCTAGTACTGGCTTTACGGAAGGGAACCGAGCGCTTGGGGGGGAAAGAGGCGCTCTGCTGGTGGTGCCGACCGCGGTGAAGCCCTGGACCGCTTCCATCGTTACAGGCTTTGTTTTGAGTTTCCAGAGTAAGCGTGTTTCTCTGCCTCTTGATAAATGAGAGCCGGCCGGATTTGTCTTGCGGGTAACAAGTAAATATTCATGAGTCAATTACATAATGTCAGCGACTTCCAAGCGGCGCTTGCCAAGTCTCCCTCCTCCCGCCGGGGCGCAGCGGAAGGCTCTTTCCGAGTGCGCGGTGCTGCCTTAGAAGATTTTTCCATAACATCTCAGAAGACGGTTTTCGTTCGCGGGGGAGGACGGTCAAATTGGCACGGCCAACCGAGCGGTCTTCACAGGTGCCCATGTAGCCCTCCCTCGGGCAACCCATGGTCTCCGGAGACGTTGAAGGAGCATCGTACTGTCTCGTCGCTTAGGGTTTCCCTAGATTGGGTGCTCCCGTGGCTCAACCTCTGCCGGTCCCAGCCTCGCAGGTCGTTTTTGTGGGTCTTTCGTGGACAGGGAAGGCGTTTTTAAGTTCGAAATCCCTGTGTTTTGGATCGTTGTTTCATTCAGAAGTGCTCGAGCAGTGCCTGACCTGACCGCCCCCAGCTTATGTCCCCTGAGCAGATGACCTGGGGGATTTCGGGTGGTCTCTGCCCTCGGTACCGTCGCTGCAGCAGAGATAACGGGTGCGTTCGCGGGCGCCCCTCGCCTCCTCCCGTCTCACCGGGGCATGCCAGAGCAAGCACGTCCTCGACCTCTCGGTGCGTCTCTTGGCCTCTTCTGGAGGAAAGTCCCACCGCAGCAAGGCTTGCAAAAGGCTTGTCCTAATCTTTAGCTTCTGCTCCGTGGAGGGGTAAACCGGGCTACAAGAAGCGCTGAGAAACAAATTTGATATCCAGTGGCAAAGCCCTGACGCAGCTGCTGCCTTCGTTTTATACAACAGCGATGTTTTAAGTGATGTCTGCACTAAATGCCCTGCCTTCCTTGAACGCGCGTGCTTGAAGGAGCTGCTGCTCTGCTCTGTGCCTGCTTGGGTCGAAGATGCTTTCAGCTAAGATGCTGTAAAGGATCTGGCCACCGTTTAAGCTCTCTCCTACCAAGCTGCAAGGAGAATGTCATTCACAGCAGAATAAACTCCCCTTTTTTTTTTTTTTTTTTTTTTTTTTTTTTTTATTTTATAGTAGCGCACCCCCCCCGGAGTCTCTGCATTCGCTTGCAGTGAGTAGTCCTGTTGGCTGTCTGGCCAGGTGGCTCTTCTGCCTGCCGGCGTCGAAGGAGCGCCGGCGTTTCTCACGTGCCCCCGCCGAGAAAGAAACGAGGCTGTTGCGGTTGCTCCGTCCCTGGTAGGAGCAGTGCCGGGGCAGCTTACCTCTTAGGAGCGTCTCTCCCTTCGGAGCAAGCCGTCAACAAGCTTAGAGCGTTTTCCTACCCTTAGCAGCAGGCGGCCGCGTTTCTGACCCTCACGGTCCGCCCTTGGGCGCAGTGCTAGGCGGTCCTGTTTCAGGTGACGTTGGATGTGCCGGGTGCCACCCGCGTTGTTTGTTCTCAGGGGGACAGCACCAAAGAGTATTTCCTCCAAAGGACTTTGCAGAGCCTTGAACGCTACTTCTACTTGATCGCTTTCAACTACTACCTTCACGAGCAGGTGAGCAGCTCCTTCCCCTTTTCCTTTTACTTAGGTTGCCCTCCGCTCCAGCGGCGGGAGGGTGAGGGAGGGAAGGAGCGGCTGGGCTTCTGCACCGGGCAGAAGAAGAGCTGGATGGTACGGTGGTG